TTCCCCTCTTATGTATTATACATGGAGATCATATCCCCCTTATGTATTATACATGGAGATCATATCCCCCCTTATGTATTATACATAGAGAGCATATCCCCCCTTATGTATAATAATACATGGAGATCATATCCCCCCTTATGTATTATACATGGTGATCATATCCCCCCTTATGTATTATACATGGAGATCATATCCCCCTCATGTATTATACATAGAGTTCATATCCCCCTTATGTATTATACATGGAGATCATATACCCCCTTATGTATTTATACATTGTGATCATATCCACCTTGGAGATCATATCCCCCCTTATGTATTATACATGGTGATCATATCCCCCCTTATGTATTATACATGGTGATCATATCCCCCCTTATGTATTATACATGGTGATCATATCCCCCCGTATGTATTATACATGGAGATCATATCCCCCCTTATGTATTATACATGTTGATCATATCCCTCCATATGTATTATACATGTTGATCATATGCCCCCTTATGTATTATACATGGTGATCATATCCCCCCTTATGTATTATACATGGTGGTCATATCCCCCCTTATGTATTATACATGGAGATCATATCCCCCTTATGTATTATACATGGAGATCATATCCCCCCTTCTGTATTATACATGGAGATCATATCCCCCCTTATGTATTTTACATGGAGATCATATCCCCCTTATGTATTATACATGGTGATCATATCCCCCCTTATGTATTATACATGGAGATCATATCCCCCCTTATGTATTATACATGGAGATCATATCCCCCCTTATGTATTATACATGGAGATCATATCCCCCCTTATGTATTATACATGGTGATCATATCCCCCCTTATGTATTTATACATGGTGATCATATCCCCCTTATGTATTATACATGGAGATCATATCCCCCCTTATGTATTATACATGGTGATCATATCCCCCCTTATGTATTATACATGGTGATCATATCCCCCTTATGTATTATACATGGAGAGTATTATACATGGAGATCATATCCCCCCTTATGTATTATACATGGAGATCATATCCCCCCTTATGTATTATACATGGTGATCATATCCCCCTTATGTTTTATACATGGAGATCATACCCCCCCCCCTTATGTATTATACATGGAGATCATATCCCCCCTTATTTATTATACATGGTGATCATATCCCCCCCCCCCTTATGTAGTATACATGGAGATCATATCCCCCCTTATGTATTATACATGGAGATCATATCCCCCCTTATGTATTATACATGGTGATCATATCCCTCCTTATGTATATTATACATGGTGATCATATCCCCCCTTATGTATTATACATGGTGATCATATCCCCCCTTATGTATTATACATGGAGATCATATCCCCCCTTATGTATTATACATGGTGATCATATCCCTCCATATGTATTATACATGTTGATCATATGCCCCCTTATGTATTATACATGGTGATCATATCCCCCCTTATGTATTATACATGGTGGTCATATCCCCCCTTATGTATTATACATGGAGATCATATCCCCCCTTATGTATTATACATGGTGATCATATCCCCCCTTATGTATTATACATGGTGATCATATCCCCCTTATGTATTATACATGGAGATCATATCCCCCCTTATGTATTATACATGGTGATCATATCCCCCCTTATGTATTATGCATGGAGATCATATCCCCCCTTATGTATTATACATGGTGATCATATCCCCCTTATGTATTATACATGGAGATCATATCCCCCCTTATGTATTATACATGGTGATCATATCCCCCTTATGTTTTATACATGGAGATCATACCCCCCCTTATGTATTATACATGGAGATCATATCCCCCCTTATTTATTATACATGGTGATCATATCCCCCCCCCTTATGTAGTATACATGGAGATCATATCCCCCCTTATGTATTATACATGGAGATCATATCCCCCCTTATGTATTATACATGGTGATCATATCCCTCCTTATGTATTATACATGGTGATCATATCCCCCCTTATGTATTATACATGGTGATCATATCCCCCCTTATGTATTATACATGGAGATCATATCCCCCCTTATGTATTATACATGGTGATCATATCCCCCCTTATGTATTATACATGTTGATCATATCCCTCCATATGTATTATACATGTTGATCATATGCCCCCTTATGTATTATACATGGTGATCATATCCCCCCTTATGTATTATACATGGTGGTCATATCCCCCCTTATGTATTATACATGGAGATCATATCCCCCCCCTTATGTATTATACATGGAGATCATATCCCCCCTTCTGTATTATACATGGAGATCATATCCCCCCTTATGTATTTTACATGGAGATCATATCCCCCTTATGTATTATACATGGTGATCATATCCCCCTTATGTATTATACATGGAGATCATATCCCCCCTTATGTATTATACATGGTGATCATATCCTCCTTATGTATTATACATGGAGATCATATCCCCCTTATGTATTATACATGGAGATCATATCCCCCTTATGTATTATACATGGAGATCATATCCCCCCTTATGTATTATACATGGTGATCATATCCCCCCTTATGTATTATACATGGTGATCATATCCCCCTTATGTATTATACATGGAGATCATATCCCCCCTTATGTATTATACATGGTGATCATATCCCCCCTTATGTATTATACATGGTGATCATATCCCCCTTATGTATTATACATGGAGATCATATCCCCCCTTATGTATTTATACATGGTGATCATATCCCCCCTTATGTATTATACATGGTGATCATATCCCCCTTATGTATTATACATGGAGATCATATCCCCCCTTATGTATTATACATGGTGATCATATCCCCCTTATGTATTATGCATGGAGATCATATCCCCCCTTATGTATTTATACATGGTGATCATATCCCCCTTATGTATTATACATGGAGATCATATCCCCCTTATGTATTATACATGATGATCATATCCCCCCTTATGTATTATACATGGTGATCATATCCCCCTTATGTTTTATACATGGAGATCATACCCCCCCCTTATGTATTATACATGGAGATCATATCCCCCCTTATTTATTATACATGGTGATCATATCCCCCCCCTTATGTAGTATACATGGAGATCATATCCCCCCTTATGTATTATACATGGAGATCATATCCCCCCTTATGTATTATACATGGTGATCATATCCCTCCTTATGTATTATACATGGTGATCATATCCCCCCTTATGTATTATACATGGAGATCATATCCCCCCTTATGTATTATACATGGTGATCATATCCCCCCTTATGTATTATACATGGAGATCATATCCCCCCTTATGTATTATACATGGAGATCATATCCCCCCCTTATGTATTATACATGGAGATCATATCGCCCCTTATGTATTATACATGGTGATCATATCCCCCCTTATGTATTATACATGGAGATCATATCCCCCCTTATGTATTATACATGGTGATCATATCCCCCCTTAATCTCCTCTTCTCGAGAGAGAATAAATTCAGTTCCTCTAATCTTTCCTCATAGTTGATCTCCTCCATGCCTCTTATCAGTTTGGTTGCCCTTCTCTGTACTTTCTCCAGTTCCCCAATGTTCTTTTTGTGAATTGGTGCCCAAAACTGAACTGCATATTCCAGATGAGGTCTTACTAATGATTTGATTTTGACCCCAGACCTCAGAGTATGAATCATTAACCTCTACTCTCTGAATACGATCATTTAGCCAGTTTTCTACTCATTTACATACTGATTTTTCCAAGCCTGTAGACTTTACCTTACACATTAGCTGTGTGGGGGGAACTGTGCCAACATCTACACTACGAAGACAGGTGAACACATTCTCCTTACTGCACAGTCTGCACAAGGGGGAGACAGTGACTATCCACAGAGAATGAAGTCTTCTCATGAACATCTGACCTCAGCTCTTCTTGACGGGAGATGTCATGGTATGTACAGGGTCAATGTCAACAGCAACCACTGCAATCCTTCATGGTACAGCACTGGATTTGTGTTTTATTTGCACGCACACAGATTTTCTATGTTTAAATTGCCTCAACAGCCTCCTTAATGTGGACCCCTTCCACCTCCCGGGCCCCATAACAGTTACATGGACTGCCATGGCTCTTGTTAATGAATAATTCCAGGCATCAATATATTAGACATTGTCAATGTAACTATGTATATACCATACCTGGCCAATGCCTCTGCAAGCTGCAAATCTCATAGGTATACCCCAATACTTCAGTGATCTCCATGTGCTGAGTGGCTGCACCTCTGCTTACTGAACACAGGAGGTCGGCTGTTCGGCACAGGCGCCATTCAGAGAGGTGGAGAGGCAGGGCAGTGTCTATTGAGTGATTTCCAGCTTCTGGGGCATTTGCCAGGTATGGTATATACAATTTTACATTGGACCAAGCTGAACAACTATGCATAGTATACCTTTGCCTGGCATTATTCCTAAAGTGTTATTAAACCCACAACAGTAACATCAGTCTGTATATGCAGAAAAGCATGCTTGTCATTCTCCCCATGGAACCTCAGGGGTTAATCCTCTGCACTGTGTACAAAAAGGCTGTTTGATCCTGTCTTCTCTGATCCTCCTCTTCTTTCTACTGTCCCCAATCCATCTGCTGATAGAACTGAGCCTTGTGGGCAAGCTACACAAGCTCAGTTTGGTGTGTATTACTAGAGAGGTTTTTTTTTTTCTTGGGAGAATGCATGTGATCAGCACAGGGACAATCAGCCCTGTCCAGACAGAGGTCAGGGGTTCTGCATCCTCCTAGAGCAGAAAGAAAACTTCTCCTACAAACGTTAACCAATGCTCTGCTGATAGAAGTCACAAGACTGCTATAATTTTTGATGAGAAAAGGTATTTAGCAGTTTATATTTACCAAAATAATTGCATTTCCACATTCCGTGTACTGTGGGAGACCAGATATAGTGAATGCAGGGTCCTGGGAGACAAGATATGGTAAATGCAGGATCTGGGGAGACCGGATATAGTGAATGCAGGGTCCGGGGGGAGACCGGATATAGTGAATGCAGGGTCCGGGGAGACCAGATATAGTGAATGCAGGGTCCGGGGAGACCGGATATAGTGAATGCAGGGTGCGGGGAGACCAGATATAGTGAATGCCGGGTCCGGGGAGATCAGATATAGTAAATGCAGGGTCCGGGGAGACCGGATATAGTGAATGCAGGATCTGGGGAGACCAGATATAGTGAATGCAGGGTCCGGGGAGACCAGATATAGTGAATGCGGGGTCCGGGGAGACCAGATATAGTGAATGCAGGGTCCGGGGAGACCAGATATAGTGAATGCAGGGACCGGGGAGATTAGATATAGTGAATGCAGGGTCCTGGGAGACCGGATATAGTGAATGCAGGGACCGGGGAGACCAGATATAGTGAATGCAGGGTCCGGGGAGACCAGATATAGTGAATGCAGGGTCTGGGGAGACCAGATATAGTGAATGTAGGGTCCTGGGAGACCAGATATAGTGAAATCAGGGTCCGGGGAGACCAGATACAGTGAATGCAGGGTCCGGGGAGACCGGATACAGTGAATGCAGGGTCCGGGGAGACCAGATATAGTGAATGCAGGGTCCGGGGAGACCAGATATAGTGAATGCAGGGTCCGGGGAGATTAGATATAGTGAATGCCGGGTCCTGGGTTTAGTAACACTTTAGGCCACTGCTAGTATAGTTTAATGTGTGCCTGTGAATACTACTGACCTTACAGGGCAGAACGTCTTGTAAACATTTTCACAGCATTAAGCCTCTTGTATTCCTTTAAAAAGCATTGAGCAGCTTTCTTGATGGTTTTTCCAGCATCCCTCAGTTCCTGGCTGGGAGTGATGAATACAGATGTTAATCAGAGTTCTGGCTATGGCTTCAATCGAGCTGGTAGAGGGCTTCAGCAGGAATTTAACAGGCCTTTAGCAAGCTTCAAGAGCCTAGGCTGAGCAATGCCAACATTCAAAGCTTAACAAATGCCTGCTAAATCTTGCTAAATGCCTGCTGAACACCAGGCTCTTGAAGCTGGCATTTGCAAACGAAAATAAAAAATGCCTGACGTAGCTTGAATTTACTTTTCATATGCATAAAATATTTGTATATAGTAAAAAGGCATTAAACATTTTTTTTTTTTAAAAAGTGTGACATTTGATTTTTAGGTATTGCAAAAGAATTGTACAAAATCAGATTACTCCATAAGGCCTGATTCACACCAATGCATTTTTGTTACAGTAGAGTTCAATGGAGATGCTGCTGAAACGCATGTTGTGAGTTGTTGCTGTATTTTTGCCACGTTTTGCATTTTTATTCTTTTCAGCAACAACAAAACTTTCCCCTTCAACAAAAAACAAAACTGAAAAAATGTGTCAAAAAGTGTGCTAAAATGCAAAAGCATTGCAAAAACGGATCAAAAGTAAATTGCATTGGTGCAAACCAGGCCTTAGACAGAACTAAGGACCTATGGAAGCCCACCTGATGTGTACTGTAGTTTTATCACTGATAATTTCTAATCTTTCTATGGCTTATTGTGCTTCACACCATTTTTCTTCTTTATGCTTTCTCACTGAACCATTCTCAAGGCTTGAACAGGTCTAGGTAATATAAGACAGCGGTCACTAACCGATGGTCCATGGACCACTGGCGGTCCCTGAGAAAATTTTGGTGGTCTGCAGAAAAACCTGGACATTATTTGCATTTTTTATTAATAATAATAAAAAAAAATAATATTTTAAGAAATTCTGATATTCTGAATGACAATTTTCACCTTTATATTGCACTAATTTGACGGACTGTACTGGAGAGGGGGAAACGAGAGAGGTGCAACGTGATGTCAGGGTAGTCTTAAGTTGTATGAGGCAGCCGTTGGCAAGCTGTACCCCTCAGTATTGTCAGTACCAGACTCGCCTTGAAAAAAAAAACCGCTCTCCATCTTGCAGTAACGTCATTGGGGCCACAAATCCATAAACTTATTTCAAACAAGCAGGAACAAATATCACACTAAAAATGTGTAATACTTAAGTACGCTTCAATTATTTTGTAATAATTAAACTAACTTTAATAATTTTGTTACAATTAAACAACCTTTAAAGATTTTGTTATGATTAAATAAGTATTTATGATTTTGTTATAATTAACCATTTATAATTTTGTTATATTAAATAAGCATTTATAATTTTGTTATATTAAATAAGCATTTATAATTTTGTTATATTAAATAGGTGTATTTCATATTAATAAAATGGAAGTTCTCTGATCATTATTTTACAAATGTATGTATTTTTAAAAAAAATCATATTAGTGGTCCGCGGGATTTAAAATTATGAATTTAGTGGTCCGTGAGGTCCGAAAGGTTGGCGAACGCTGATATAGGATGTAGAGAAAAAATTTAGGGAAAAAATGTGGCCTGAGGGGCATATGCCTGAAGCCCATAAGGAGGCCCTTTCACCTTGCTCCTTCAGCCCACCAAATTATAACCTTTACAGTTCCCTCCTACCATTCCTTCCCCTGTTGCAGTAATGGCAAAATTGACCTCCTCCCAAAATGCAGTGCCCGTTGGAGCAGCCAATGGCTGGGCCCGAACACTGCCACACTCCTTCTGATGCAGAGTCACCCACCACTGCATCATAGGACAGGGTCACTGGGCACTTTTCGGCAACTGTGATGAAGGAAAAAGCATTGGAGGGGAAAGCTAGGTCACTCCTCCCTAAATGGGAGAACCCGAATGGCATGACACCCTCTGACGTAAGTTTGTTGCTGCGTAAGGCATGGAAATATATTGATGTGCGTTGTGCTATTCTTCCAAAAATAGTGCATGCGCCATTTTTGATAGTTCCCCCACAGCACACGTCCATCAAAGGTGTTGCCTTTCAGATGGTACTGCATGGCACCAGCACATTTAGCTGCTACTGCAAAATTATGGTGTAAATGGGCCCTAAATGAATGAAGAAACACACAGCAAATTGTAAATTTCAAATGCCTTTTTAAAGGCTGGGGTACTTTATTGGGCATACAGTAAACCAACAAACAGCAATTATAACAGGTGTAATAATGATATATTATTATCATTACAGTTAATACAATGATTAACCAGAACGTTAATAAAACAATACAGGGATCAACAATATAAGCTCATGCCCGACCAAACCAGAACACCCAACTAGGGCTTGAACATTATATCTCAAACCCCCAACTGATTATATACTAGTGACTTTTTAATATTACTTGTCCACCTACTTATTGAGTGACATTTGCCGATAAAGTATTGACTCAGTATTGGCCCAATGACATTTCCAAAGATCCACCAAGGAGAGAATATTTAAAGAAGATGTGTCTGATTCACTGGGTGACAGAGGGTGCCCCATATACAAAAGTTGTAAAGTATTGCAGTGTACTAGTCCAGATGTGGTTGCGCCACTAGTTTTCTTTTTTACATTCTTTTTTCACTCGGTAATCTTGTGACTAACACACTTCCTGTCCCTTGGTGGCTACACTCACTCTTCCACAGTGCAGTTGTGTTGAAATGTTTGCATACCCTTTTGAAAATTGGTAATATACAGTATGTACCATTTTTAAAGAAATCATCAGCAAACAAAACACATTTCTTTTGTATCTTATGGGATTCATATTCAATTGTAGGTCAAAGGATAGCACAATCATAAAACAAAACATGTCAACAAGTAAACAAATTAAATGCCCTCTGTTCAAAAGTCTGCATATCCTTCGTTCTTAATACTGTGTATTTCCCCCTTTAGCATCAATGACAGCGTGCAGTCTTTTGTAATAGTTGTGTATGAGGGCCCAAATTGCAGGTGGTATAGAGCAAACATTAAGGGTGCAGAGCAAAAATTCTTCCTCCACTTAGGTGGATGCTTGGATTCTTAATAAGGACTCTTTTCTCAGAGCTTGTACATCCCATGTGCTGGCGTTCATCTCAGAAGAAACAGGTCTGTTCAGCATGTAATAGTTGTGTATGAGGCCCCGAATTGCAGGTGGTATAGTTGCCCCTTCATCTTGGCAAAATGCCTCAAGGTCATGCAAAGTCTTTGGTATGTATGTACGAACCGCACGTTTGAGATCTCCCCAGAGTGGTTTGATGATATTAGGGTCAGGAAACTGTGATGGCCACTCCAGAACCTCCACCTTTTTTCTGCTGAAACCGCTGGAGAGTCAATTTGGCCTTATTCTTAGGGTCTTTATCATGATGGAAAGTCCAAGAGCATCCAATGCTCAGCTTCCATGCAGAAGAATGCAAATTGTCTGCCAGTATTTTCTGATAGCATGCCGCATTCATCTTTCTATCAGTTTTCACAAGATTCGCTGTGCCTTTAGAGCTCACACACCACAAAAATATCAGTGAGCTATAACAATGCTTCACAGTTGAGATGGTATTCTTGTCTCTATAGACCTTGTTGACTCCTCTCCAAACATAGTGCTTATGGTTGTGACCATAAAGCTCTATTTTGGTCTGGTCACTCCAGATTACAGTGTACCAGAAGTTGTGAGGCGTGTCATGCAGGGGTGTATTTACCATGAGGCAAACAAGGCATTTGCCTAGGGTGGCATTTTTCAGGGGGCAGCACAGCCAGGGACACACATGACATGGGGACCAGGTGGGATCTGAGAGAGGCCGTGGGCTGCTTGACGATGTATACAGAGCCCAACTCTCGTACCTGGGGATGTCCAGAGCTGTGTGAGTGTCTCTCTCGCCGGGGGGAGAGGAGGGTGCGGCGGGCATATGGGGGTGGGTGGTAGAGGAAGGCTCTCTTGGCCGGGGGAGGAGGGTGGGTGGTGGTGGTGGGGAGTGGGTAGAGTGCAGTTGGTCGGTTTCAGTTTCTTTCTGGGGGGGGGGGGGGGGTAGTGGTTGGTTGGTGTTTTTTGGTGTCAATCTCTCTCTGCGGTGGTGGTAGGGTGCAGTTGGTCAGTGTCAGTCTCTTTCTAGGGGGGCATGATTGGTTGATGTTGTTTTGTCAGGCTCTCTTCACAGTGGGAGGGGAGTACGGTGCAGTTGGTCGATGTCAGTCTCTTTCTGGGGGGGGGGACGTGGTTGGTTGGTGTCAGGCTCTTTCCATGGTGGGGGGGGGGGTGTAGGGTGCAGTTGGTTGGCGTCGGTCTCTTTCTGAGGGGGCGTGGTTGTTTGGTGTTGGTTGGTGTCAGGCTCTCTCTGTGGGAGGGGAGGGGAACGTCCAATTTTTGCCTTGTCTAGGGCAGCACAAAATATAAATACACCACACTGGTGTCAAGGCGTTGTCCATCATATTGTTACTGGGCTTTCTTATAGCATTGGCACAATAAAGGCTTCTTTCAGGCAACTTGACCATGCAACTTATTTTTGTTCACGTTTTGTCATATTGCGCTCCTTGAAACAGCCACGCTGTCTTTTTCCAGAACAACCTGTATTTCTCCTGAGGTTACTTGTGGGTTTTTCTTTGTATCCAGAACAATTCTTCTGGTAGTTGTGGCTGAAATCTTTTACCTGACCTTGGCTTGGTATCAAGAGATCCTTGAACTTTCCACTTCTTAATAAGTGATTGAACAGTATTGACTGTACTGCATCCTTTTCCATCTTTATAAAGTTTCATACTAGGTCTTTTGACAGTTCTTTTCTGCTCCCCATGGCTCAGTA